CCAGAGGAGTTAAAACCAGAATTGCATGAAATAATAATGCTGTAAATAATTTTATAAAAACATGACCTTTAAAATATATTAGTCTTTGGAGTACTTTATAATCAGATGGGAGTGACTGTTTATACATACATACAGAGGCTTGCTCATTATCTTGTGATATAATATATAAAAGAGTCCTTGAACTTAAAAAGATGGATTATGTACTTTTCTTTTATGAAAATACAGTCGTTTCAATTATCTTAACCTTTTCTTGCTTGGTGCTGAACAACTATCAGTAATAAGAAACCTAGTAAATATTTTCGAAAGATTTTGTTGATTCAAGGTAAGGATGATATTTTAACTGATTTTGGAAAACAGCTTTGCTATGAGGATATGATTTTGAAATCAGGCGCTGGGAAATATTTCTACTGTTACTGTTATTCTCTTGCCAAAAACAATGTGTGTCACCTAGAAAAACTCTCATATTGACACATTTAAAACACTTGGGAACAGTTTATAGGTTTTGAATGCTTTTCTTAAAAATCTAAACAGATAAACTTTCTTAATAGCTTATAAGCTTATTGATAGCAGGAAAAATAGAAATTTATCAGATGAATTTTGATGAAAACTTTTGCATAATTGATAGATGGGATAGGATAGTATCCTGCTTAGTTCAGCTAAGCCATGATATACTCCTCCCATTTGGATCTAAATGCCTTTGTAAGATATTTTTTTCAACTGTATCAGTCCTTATAACCAAGTATCAAAATGAACTGGACCTCGAACCAAATCTTGGAATTGCCAGATCACTGAGATTTAAATTAATAAAGCTTTATTCAATCACCTTGCTCTTGTTAAGATATTATTAATATTTTTACTAAAAGCAAAAAGGGCTTTTTATACCTTTAATAAATTAGTGAAGTTATTTACACATTGGATTTTGTACTCAAAGACTTTTCACTAATTGCATATGCTGTCAAAACATTCAGAGATCACTGCATTATCTAATGATTTAATTCTGTATGATATTTTATAGTTTATAAAATGCTTTTGTTAATGTATTCTAGCTTGAACCTCATCAAGAACCTTTTGCTGCAGAGGGGAGTCATGCCCGTCCTACAGCGGAGGAACCGAGGGTCAGCGTATTTAAGCGACTTGCCCAATGTCACACAATTAGCTAGTAGTGGCTCCTCAACTCCAGCACAGGTCTTATTACTGGGTGGTGTTCTTTCCATATATTCCATTTGCTGCTGTTCTACCATCATTCTTCAGCTTTTGATTTCTTGCTCTAACCTATTATATAGTTTTGAGTCCTCAGGTAGTTGCTTTTTGTATTTTGTCTAGAGTTTCTACTTGCAATCAGTTGGAGAGAGAGGCTGCACAAGTAAATTAAGAAAGGTTAGGAACAAAAGGATGGAAGCTGGCCAGAAAGACAGTATATTAATGATTAAGATATCAATTGCAGTAGATGGCCCATAATCCAAATGAATAAATTTGATGTGGAAAGCCATGCAAAGGAATCATAGTAATACAGTTCAGGCAGATAGATCATTTGAATGTTGGCAGGAGGGCGGGCTAGAAATGCCTGGTTGTGGAAAATATACACGGTGGGTGTGTGTGATGGACCTGGAGTTCTGTGCTGCACTGAAGTTGGAGTTAAATGGACAGCAGTGTGGTGAGTGCTGGTAAGCGGTTGGAGAGTGTTATAAGGAAACTAAATGATAATGGGAAAAAAATATGATAAAGGAGTTTAATTTCCAAAAAAATTGAGGGGTTATTGTTTTGGCTTCAATAAAACTTCCTATAACAAGTAGCCTATTTGGATTGTTCTGTCAGTACATACAACAGAGTGAACAAAATTGAAGAGCTCTATATAAGAATGAGAGTTAAAGATTGCTTGTCTGCTAATAGATCTATAGATAAAACAGGCAGGTGTAACATACTCAATTGAAAATGATTGGGTCAGAAGGTAACTTAAAAGTATAGCATGGTTTCAGACATCATTTTCTAAGCTATGATCAGTGCTACAATCCAAGAAGAGAGATTTATTTAACAAATTGAAATCTGGTTTTAACAGGTTTCCATGAAAGTGTTTTACCCACGGCTTCTGGGCTTTTTCATATTCTAAATTCAGGGCATGGCTTGATCTTCTCTTAGCCTCGTGGCAACACATCTGGAAATACTACCTGCGCAGCACTAAAACTTTCATGGGGATTTTGTATGCTTTGAAATACTGCATATATGCTTATAAAATTCTCTTAGATTCACTAGCATAATAAACTAAGATGGTGCTGATGGGTATATTGTTGTCTGTGTTAATCTACAGATGAAAGACTTCTTCAGTTCAAATGAGTAAGTTTCTTACCTGTAATTATTCATCAGTCCAGTGATCTGTTGTGCTTGGGAGGAAATAAAAATGGTGCGATTAAAGTTGAAACCAATGTCTGAAATAACTGTACTCTTTCTTTATTATTATTATTAAATGGAAAGATCTGAAAGTTTCAGCGTTTCAGATGTTAGAGAATTATTTTGGCTTATCACAGTTTAAAGCAGCAGTCACCAACCTTTCTGGCATCAGGGACTGGTTTCATGGAAGACAGTTTTTCCACAGACAGGGAAAGAGGGAGGATGGTTTTGGGATGATTCAAGTACCCTGCATTCAAGCTCACCTCCTGCTGTGCAACCTGGTTCCTAACAGGCCCAGAGGTTGGGGACCCATGGTTTAAAGAACCTAAGACTTGGAGTCAGATCACTTAGATCTGGTATCAGTTACGTTGTGATGGACAGTGTCAACATGGGCTGGTCACTTAAGCTTCCCATAACAAATGTGTACTGGTCCAGTTTGGCTTGATTGCAAATGATTAAGCTTCTGCACGTGTATTAGCAAACAAACAAATGGTTTATTTAGCTTTAAAGATAAGGCTACAGTGGTGTAGTCAGATAGCCTGGAAAGGCTTGTCAGCACTTTGGAAGGCTGTGGGGCAGCCGTAGGAACTCTCCTTAGTCAGCCTGAGGAGTTTGTAAGTCAGCATAGTCTGTCAAATTGGAGAAGCCAGAGGACCATTAAGGACCCCTTATTCCTGAGTGAGCAGCTCTTCCCTGGGTTGCATAGCCGTCTAATAATTCTTTTATTAACAAGAATGTGCAGAATGAGAAGATGTCAGTTGAACGAGATGCCTATTAAACTCCACTTGAACATAAGTAAAAATTCTGTTAGCCAGCCTCACTTTCACCCATGCACTTGTCTTGTCAGTTCCTCTATCAGTTCCACTTGGCCGTGCCCTTGACATGCTAGTGTTTGCAGCTGATAGGCTACCTTCTCCTATGACAACATACTCTTCTCCCCTACCAATTTAGTTGTATACTTATCAAGAATCAGTTATGCTCATTCCAAAATTTTTATTACATTTGTGCATACTCAGTGACATTAGGGCCAGTTATTGTTCCTGATCATATTGGGTAAGAAGGCTTCTTTATATGTATTAGTTGAACCTAGTCGACCTGCTTGTTGAAGTTGAACCTGCTTACTCCTTTGGAAAACTGGAGGTGGGGGCATTGCAGTCCGGGTGTGCTCGCCATGTGTGTTCCTGCTAATCCCTCCGGAGCTCCCTTTACCTGTGTTTTCCCATCTTAGAAGCGAGAATGATGATTCTTTTAAGTTTACAGAACGGTAAAATTTAAACATATGAATATGAAAACATTGAAAAATGTGCTATCCATTATAGATGCTGTAGTGTTGTTTACTTTGGGGAGTCATGGTTTAAGAGAATACTTATCTTTTGTTAGACTCAGGTTTCTGTACGAAATCAGACAATTCTTATGCCTTCCTTATCTGGAATTTTGAAAACTGTGGTTTGAGGAGCTTTTCAGACTCTGAATAAACTAAACTTAAGCCAGTATGCTTAAACTAAATTGTAAGATGATGGATTAACTTCAGTGATTTAGAAGGTGTTCAAGATGTTAGAGAATTAGTATGTCTCAAGCGTTATGAGGTATTAAAGTTTAGGAATCCTAGACTTGGGGTCAGACTGGCTGATACGGTATCAGTTGGGCTCTTCATACTGTTTGTCTTTGTTGCTGTGATCCTGGTCTGTTAATTATGTTACATTTCATGGGGATTTATACAAGATTTCTTGGACTAAGAAAAGGCGTTACATTTCATTCATATAAAATCACTAGCTGTTTTGAGTAGTCTCAATTTCCATGGACATTAACTTCTTTAGTTAACACTTTTCATGGTGGAAAATGAAACTACTATTGCATGATTCTTAATTAAGTGTATGCGGACTGTCCTTTAATTGGTAATTAGCTTTTGGCAGCAGTTATTTTAGGGTGTGCAAGCACACACATATGCTTTGGGGTCAGAGGCACTTGAGTTTGAGTCCTGGCTTTACCACGTACTAGATGTATGACTTTTGGAAAGTTACTTAAGCCTGTTTTTAAACCTCTGTTTCCTTATCTCTATAAGAGCATGGCAATATATACGTCATAGGGTAATGAGGTTGAAAAGAGAATGTATGTGAAGTGTATGGGCATATGGCATGGTAGTCACTTTCCTTTCTGTGTTAATTTTAAAATTTTATTTTATGTCATGGATAAGAAGAAGAAAACTTTTGTAAGCTACACATTTATTTACTTAATGTGGTAGGTCTGGAGACCATTGGCAAAGAAACAGAGAAAAGAGGGATGTAACATATGTTACTGTGAGCTATCATTTCTAATGTTAGCTCATCCATTTCTTAAGCAACAACTGGTATTTCCAGATCTTTAGAATTTGAACATTTAATTTTACATGGTCCTGGGTATTGACTTTGCATGTGTGACCAGCAAGGGGAGGGAGAGGAACCAGATGAAGGCTATAGAACAAATAAAGTTTATTGAGGGTCATCCTGGCCCAAGTAGTCTTTCAAAAGTAAGTCTAAGTAACATACCACTTCTCTTTTACTACATAGAGATGGGGATAAAAAGGCATTTACCTCAATGTTTAAAATTTTTCATCTTTTTCTGGTTTGTTTCTCCAGCTGCTGTTCCATCCCTGACCCACCTTTGTCGCTTGGAAATTCGGTCCAGTCTAAAACCGGAACACCTACGATCTGACAGTTTTATCTGCCAGTTGCCGCTTCCCAGAAGCCTACATAATTATTTGCTCTATTCAGAGGTTCTGAGGATGAATGAAGTTCCCGAACTGGCAGTTATTCAAGATGGAGAAATCAGTGATACTGCTTAATGCACCTTGTGTCTTACTCTGAAAACCACCAAGACTAAGAGCCATGGAGTACAGAGTCTTCATGATTTTATAGTTACAAAAGATGATTTTTGTTTGAGTGGTTGGTTAGGTGTTTTTTGGGAGGCATTAGTTTAATGCAACTGGAGACTTCCTGATAAAAATACTGTAAACCCAACTTACATTACTTTATTACAGTTTCATCATCAGTACACTTTTTGTTGTGATATTTATTTACCTAACAATTTTTCTTTATTCTATTAATGAACTATGGTGCTGCTTCTAGTGCTGCACATGGCATATTTCCACCTATGACTCTGTGTTTATCTAGGGGGGGCTTAGGGCGGACCACATAAAACTTGACTGGAAGTGGACACACAGTGGGGTTAAATCTATTATTATCATTATTTCATTTGAGGTTGAATATCTTTATGTTTGTAAAAGAATTATTTTATATTTTGTTCTTATTTCTTAATTTAGTCACTTTTATGAAGAATTGGCATTCATTGGCTTTTCATGGGTAAACTCAGGAGAATTCCTTTAAAAAAAGAATATAGAAAATGAATTGTTTTGCTGTTGTTTCTTTTTCAGTTCCTTGATATTCTCTTTGGCTAAAAAAGACCATGTTTCTGAAAAGGCAAGAACAGACCTAATCTCAAAGGTATTCTCAGTTGAAAAAAAATTAGGTTGGTATTGGGATAAATGAACATTTTGTCCCATTTAGAATACTAATCGGGAGACTTGGAAGGGGCAAAAAGGTATGTATTCCTGAGGTACTTAATATCAAAAACAAACATTCAAGCTCCATTCCGCCTCCAAATCAGAGGGCAGCTTTGATCCTATGAAGCAAGATTGCTATTTCTATTAATATTATAGTGTTTTTCTTTTTTATTATCTACATAGGTTATCAAATAGTCCATGAAATTGAGACCTCAGAGTCCTAGGTTAATGAGACACCGCCTCATTGATTTTACAATTGCTCAGTCTGAATCTAGAGTCAGAGAGGACTAAACACTGGATCAAATGAGCTATGATAAGAGGCTCTGGAGACCAACCTTGAAAGAAAAGTTACAGAACCATCACTGTCATGATAGACACCTAGAGATAGGGTCCAAAGGAGGGCATGTCTTCTGTCTTATTGGGATCCTGTGGCTTAAAACAGATGGAGTGCGTCAGCCAGGTCCATCTCCGATAGTCCTTGGCTGTTTGATGAACGCAATAATGAAGGCAGACCAAATGATGGAGGCATTGTTAAAGGCCTGGACTGAACTCAGAGCTAGTTAGAGCTGTAGTTACTGCCTGTGGAGGAGAGATAGAGTCTGAATGTGGGTACGCAGGCAGAAATAAAGTAGATATGGAAAACCAGATGGAAATTCTGATACTTAGTAAAATTCCAAGAATGTATGTACTATGTAGTATTTTCAAAATGTCCTAATCTTTATTTTCCCAAACCCTAAGTCTGTGATTTTTAGCATAATCAGTTTTTTGTTAGGGTCAAATGTACATAAAATGTTAATATTTGAGTGTGAGTCTTTTCATGTGTTTTTGTTCATGTTCAAATATATAATAAAAATTCAACTATCCATAACTTAACATTGGAGTCATTCTTAAAAATCTGAAAATTAATATTTCAGGGATATTTAAAAGCCCTTGGTAGGAAACAAATGATTTTACTTACTATGTATAATATACCTTTTAGATAATTTTATAATAAAATATTTATGAGTTTTATGACCTGTAGCAAGGAGTCAGTGAGAAATCTAATCTAAAAGTACCTAAAGGTTGGTGAGTTTTAGTTACAGTTTATGATCAAAGTGATACATCTAGTTTGTACGACCTTTAGGCTCTGCCTTACATGCACAGTGGTACTTTACTACTGTTTAAAGTTAACAGTGAGCCCAATGAAGAACCCCATACAGTAATTCTCTAATGGTGGAACATTTTACCAGAGCAGGTCACAAATCAGATATAATGACAGTTGCCAAGAGTTCACCATTCCTTGAATTGGATATTATCTTTTAATTATATTTCCTGCTTATCCTTCCTGTTCAGGATATCTTTTTGTGACCATTTCATGTCAGGATATCTTTCGGTGATCATTTGATGTAGTAGTGGTAACCTGAACACTGTTTCTTTGAATTTTACTTTCAATCTGTGTAGGTCCTTTGTTCTGAGGGGGGTCTCTTGTAGGTAGCATATGTGCGGGTCATGTTTTCTTATCCATTCAATTATGTGTTTTAATTGGAGCATTTACAATCAAAAGACATAATTGATTGTAAATCAATTACATTTACATTTAAAATTATTGATAGGTACTTACTCATTTTTTCCCTTTGTACCTGTGTTCCTCTCTTTCTGACTCTTTTTCTTCATCTTAAAGCAGTCCCTTTAGCATATCTTGCAGTGCTGGTTTGGTGGAGGTGTATTCTTTTAACCTTTTGTTTGGGAAACTCCTTATTTCGCCTTCCATTTTAATTGAGAGCCTTGCTGGGTAGAGCAGTCTTGGCTGCAGGCCTTTGCTTTTCAGTACTTGGAATATTTCTTGCGATTTCATTCTGGCTTGTAGTGTTTCTGTTGAGAAGTTAGCTGCTAGCTGTATCGGTGCTCCCTTGTATGTTACTACCTGTTTCTCCCTTGCTGCCTTTAGGATTCTGTTTGTCTTTGATATTTGCCATTTTAATTATGATGTGTCTTAGAGTGGACCTTACTGGATTCCTCTTGATGGGACCCTCTGGGATTCCTGGACTTGTGTGACTTTTTCTCTCCTCAAATTAGAGAAGTTTTCCATCATTACTTTTTCAAATAGGTTTCCTATCCCTTCCTCCTCCTCTTCTCCTTCTGGTATCCCTGTTATACAGATATTACATTTCAGAGTGTCCTGCATTTCCCTAAATACCTCTTCATTCTTTTTGAGTCTTTTTTCATTTTCTTGCTCTTTCTGGGAGCTTTTTTTCTACCTTGTTCTCCACCTCACTGATTTGATCCTCTGCTTTACCTAGCCAGCTTTTGATTCCTTCTACTGTGTTCTTCAATTCAGAATTGTATTCTTCATTTCCTCTTGCCTCTTGTTGATAGGGTCTATGTCCTTTTTCCTGCTGATATAGTTTGCAGTAAGTTCCTCATAGTTTCCCTGTAGTTTTTTGTAATTCTCTCTGAGCTCACTGAGCTCACTGAGCTTCCTTATAACCAGTACTTTGAACTCAACATCTGATGGTTTATTTGCCTCTATTTCATTTAGTTCTCTTTCTGGGGATTCCTCCTTTTGTTTCTATTGGGGGTTGTTTCTTTGTCTTCCTATTATTTGTGAGACTCTTTTTTGCTTCTGCTTCTTAAGTTGATCTTTTTTGACTTCCTGACTTTGTGGTGTGAACTTCTATGGTAAGAGACCTGTGAGGTTCAGTGGTACAGTCTCCCTTATCTCCTGAACTTGATGTTCTTTGGATGCCTTTTATGCCATTTATGTTGGCTTTCTGAAGGTAATTGGGTTTTAATTTCTTGTTTGGTCGTTCTTTGGTGGGTCCTACCCTCCAGCTGGTTGGCTGAAGTTCACTCTGCCCACCATGTCTTAGGTGTTTTTGTGCAGGTGCTGCCAAAACAAAAACACAAAGCCGGGGAAACAAACCTACATCTGCAAAAATAACTTCCTCCACTATCAACATCAAATGAACAAGTATTAGTAAGGCTATAAAGAGATTAAGACTATTATAAGAAAGAGAAATAAACTATTAGTATAAAAACTAATGAATTAATATGCACAAACTTGAAGGACCTGAAATGAACATTAAAAAGCTATGTAGTAAAGAAAATAATGCAAATCGTGGAGAAGACCACAGTGGATTTCATCTTGGTATTCTCTAGTATTTACCACTGTTTTTTCTTTCTGGATCTGCTTCTAGTGATGTCAGACGTTGACCCTGTCTGATATAGGCAGTCTGAGACTTCCAGGAATCTACTGTCTATGGCTGTCTCCTTCAGTTAATCTAGTCACTCTGCACTCAGCAGTCTCAGGCTTAGGCACCACAGGGCAGGGCAGGATGCCTCCTGGGTTTGGTGCTATCGTTTTCCCCTCAGGCTGCTCAGAGGGGAGTTGTCTGCCTGAGCCAGATGGCTGCTGCTGTATGGGGGAGGAGTCAGCACCGGGATCCCGCTGGCCACTCAGTTCTCTCCCCAAAGCCTCTGTCCCCAGTCTCTCCTCAAGTTCCTCTAGCCCATTCTGAGCCCCCTTTAACCAGGGATCTACTATCTGTGGCTGCCACTCTGTGCTCAGCAGTCAGGCTTAAGCACCACCAGGCCGGGGCAGAATCCCTCCTGGCGGCGGGGCTATTGTGTCTTCTCACACTTCTGCTGCTCCAGGGAGTGGTCTCCCTGAGCAAGATGGCTGCTGCCTCATAGGGGAGGAGTCAGCACTGGGATCCTGCTGGCTACTCTCAGTTCTCTCCCCAAAGTCTCTGTCCCCAGTCTCTCAGGTGTCTCTAGCTCACTCTGCCCCTGCCTTTGCCAGAGACCAGGGTAAGTGGCTGCAAATAAAAATTTATGTATTGGCCCTAAAAAATGGCTCTTTGCACCTCCAGCCACCTGTCTCTGGCAGAAAGCAACCCTGCCGCTTTTTGCAGTTGGCTGCTCTCCATGTACTTTTTGAGCTCCATTGCTATAGGGTGGAGATCCGCACTTATGGTTTAGACCCCACTCTTCTCTAGGGGATCCAGCTGGCTGTTTCAATATGTTTCTGATGCTGCTGCCCATGGGTGCCCTGCCCACCCTCTTGAGTACCGCACTCCTTACCAGCTAGGTTGTGCTAAAGCTGATTGTTCTGTCTGTCTGAAGTAATAAGGCTCCTCTCTTGCTAATGTTCAGTTGTTTGTTCCAGGTGATTTCTCCACAATTTAGTTGTAATTTCAGATTGATCCTGGGAGGAGGTTAGTGTGACTTCCATTCACTCCTCTGCCATCTTGTCTCCCCTCATCTGTTTGTGAGGATTCATTTCAGCTTGAAGGATTCCCTTTGGTATTTCCTGTAGAGCAAAGCTTAACAACTGTTTCTTGCAGTATTTGTTTATCTGGGAATGACTTAAATTTCTCCTTCATTTTTGAAGAATAGTTTGGCCAGATTAAATTCTGGGTTTATATGTTTGTTTGTTTGTTTTTCATCTTCAGTAATTTGAATAAGTCATCACACTGCCTTCTGGCTCCATGGTTTCTGATGGGAAATCAGCTGTTGATATTGAGGATTCTTTGTATGTGATGAGTTCCTTCTCTTGCTGCTTTCAAGATTCTCTCTTTATCTTCATCTTTCAACAGTTTGATCATAATGTGTAAAGGTGTGGATCTCTAAGTTTATGAGTTTGTTGAGCTTCCTGGGTGTGTAGATTATTTTTTTTAATTGGAAACATTTTGGCTTTTATTTCTTTTTTCTTAAAGATTTTATTTATTTTTAGAGGAGAAGGGGCAGAGAAAGAGAGGGAGCGGAACATCAATGTGTGGTTGCCTCTTGTGCGCCCCCTGCTCGGGTTCTGGCCTGCAACCCAGGCATGTGCCCTGACTGGGAATCGAACCAGTGACCCTCTGGTTCGCAGGCTGGCACTCAATCCACTGAGCCACACCAGCCAGGGCTTATTTCTTAAAATATTTGGTCTTCCCTCTGTTCCACTCTTTCTGAGACTCATTATACATGTTATGGGTTGAATTGCATTCCCCCAAAATTCATATGTTGAAATTCCAGCTCCCAGTACCTCAGAATATGGCCTCATTTGGAAGGCCTCAGTTGCAGATGTAATTAGTTAAGGTGAGATCACTAGGGAGGGCCATAATTTAATTCAACTGGGGTCCTTATAAAAAGGAGGAAATTAGGTTATAGAGGCAGACACATAGGGAAGGCAATGTGATGAGATAGAACACAGCCATTTACAAGTCCAGGAGAGAGACCTCAAACAGAGCCTGCCCTCACTCTCCTCAGACAGAACATATCCTACAGACACCTTAATCTCAGACTTCCAACTTCAGAACTGTAAGACGATACATTTCTGTTGTCTAAACCACTCAGTTTGTGGTACTTTGTTACAGCAGCAAGCTAATATAAATGTATGGTGGCATGTTTAATGGTGTCCCACATGTCACTGAGGCTCTGTTTATCTGTCTTCATTCCTTTTTTTCTTTCTGTTCTTCAGACTAGCCAATTTCAATTCACCGATTCTTCCCCCACAGCCCCTTGCCAATTCTTTTCTCTGCCCGCTCAAATCTGCTATTGAACACTTCTAGTGAATTTTTCATTTTGTTTCTATGCTTTTAAACTCAGAATTTCTGTTTGGTTCTATTTTAGATACCTTCCTCTTTAACGGTATTCCCTATTTGGTGAGACATTCTCATACTTTCTTTTAGTTCTTCAGCCATGGTTTCTTTTAGTTTTTTGACCAATTTAAAACAATAAGTCTTTATCTAATAAGGTTAACATCGACATCTGTATTTGGGATGATTTCTATAGTTTTTTTCCCCCCTGTTTTAGGCCATACTTTCTGTCTTCTTTGT